ACTGAAAATAGGGACTAATGCTAATTACCTATAATAAGTAGTATATTCTGGCACAATTAAAAATTAACTTAAATGTAAGTTTAATAGAATTAAAAGCTTCTTCTGAATGGTGATATTTAGGATGTCTTCTAAAAATGTCTTCTTTGTCCATGGATGCTGCCTTTATAATTGTTTTATTTTAATAACATAGATGCTGCATTTGATATAATTTATTTTAATATTTGCCTCTTGTTTGTTTGATTCTTCCAATCATTTTGTGATTATATATGAGCTAATAGAGATCAGTTCCTTTACAAGATTTTTTGTAAAAATATTGAAGTTTCTATCAGAGATGTTTTTGTTTAACAGAATTTTAATTTTTTGTAGCCTGTAGATTATTTTATAAACTGCGAGATAAAGAGATCTTAATAAGGATTAAACAGTTCATTTCATTTATAGTTAGCATAAATCACCTTATTTACCTCTTAGGTGTAAAAGTATTCTGGTAACTTTGTTACTTTAAGTTTTATAACCATAGCACCTTTTAACACATTTTTTTCTTTAAAATTATTTCCATTGTTTGTATCTTACAATTAATTGTTTCACCTTAATTATTAAAAAATAGTTTTACAGTATTCTATATCCTATACTTGTTTTAAAAAGAGTAAATGATAGATGGTATATGTGTGTATATAATTTTAAGAATACTGGTACATAGAAAATAGCATGTATGGAAGGTGATATTTAATGATTTTATAAATCTTGACTTTATACTCAATTTCTATGTAGAGATTTATGTATGAGCTTGATGAATTTGAAGTAGAAATCATTTGAGACTTAAGGGAAGTAATCAGGTTTTTTATTCGTAACATAATAGTGCTGTTGAAATTTGGAAATTATCTGAGAAATAGGAACTAGAAATTTGAAGTTACCAGTGAGAACCTATCACATAATTCAGACATGCCATGTTTTTTTTTTAAATTTGAACTTAATAGAGAAATGATAGGTAGTTATTATACTTATTGGTTAGCTATTGCTGCATAATAAATTACTCCAGAACGTAGTGGCTTAAAATAACGATATATTTATTATTGAACAGCCTTTTTGGTGTTAGGAATGCAGGGACAGCTTAGCTGGGTCCTCTCTTCAAGGTCTCTTACAGACTTTGAGATGGTCATTTGATAGGCTTGATTGAGAAAGGATTCATCTCCAAGCTCACTAACCTCTTTGTTGAAAAGATTTATTTTCTCTCCAATGTGGCAGCTTGTTTCATCAAAGCATGAATGCCCAGAAGTCATTAGAGGATACCAGCAAAATGGAAGTCACAGTCTTTTGAAATGTAATCATGGAAGTGACATCCCCTTATTTTTGCTGTATTTTGTTAGAAACAAGTTATTGTATCCAACCAGGACTCAAGGGGAGGATATAAACACCACAGGTATAAAAAGACATAAATACCAGGAGGCACAGGGATCATTGGAAGCCATGTCCCGTAACTCTTGCCTTAGTTTTATTTATATATATATATGCATGCCTAAGAGACCATTATGACCAAATCTATATATATAAAAGCCTAAGTGACCATTATGACCAAACGACTGGAACGACCATTCGACCAGTTGCTATGATGCGCACTGACCACCAGGGGGCAGACGCTCAACGCAGGAACTGCCCCTTGGTGGTCAGTGCGCTCCCACAGCCAACCTCCGTGGGTAGCATCTGGCGACCATTCCTTCTGCGCCTGGCCTGGCGACCTCGCCTCCTCTCCTGACCCTGCCGGGGACTTTGGGCCCTGGGCTGGGACGGGGAACCTATGGTGGGTGGCAGTGGACATGGCCCCTTTCCTAGGGCGGCCGAGGGCCAGCTCCCTCCTCGGGGCCGGCGGCTGACCTCCCTCACCCTATCCCTCCCCCCTGGCTGGCAGTCCCCGATCAGATTGGCCCTGATTGGCCCTGATCTCCAGTCACGCCTAGGGATCCCACCCATGCACGAATTTGTGCACCGGGCCTATAGTACAAAATAATCATGAGCAACATTGAGAATGAGTTCATAGATATTTTTTATTAGTTTTTTTTCTGCTATTGTTGAATGTGAAGCCTCTTAATTTTGTGAGAATTTTAAAAAATTATTTTAGTATGTTTTGCAGGTATGCTGTCTTTGTATTTCTTTGCTTTAGTTTTTCAGTCACCCAAGTAGGATTTCAGGTCCCCCTACACGCACACTTTACATTTAAGAGTGTGTGTTACATACCAGAAAAATTAAATTCTCTCCTTTTTCTTTTGAGGTTGCAGATAGATAGGCTGTCATACAGCTGTACTGTTTTACTTCAAAGTGTCATACACTTTGTTCATTTCATAAAAATTTGGAATGGAATTTATTTTGCCTGTATTGAATATTGAAGTATTCAGTAGTGCAAATGAGAAGTTTAGAATATAATCCAGTGTTTCTCACAGTATGGTTTTTGGTCAGCGACATCATCATCTCCCCTTTGTTAGGAATGCAAATTCTCTGGCTCCACTCCAGACTTCTGAATTTTGGGGAGAGACTCGGCAAGTTGTTGTTTTAACAAACTCCAGGAGGTTCTTATGGTTGCTGAAGTTCCAAAACTACTAATCTGTTCAGGTCCTTAGAATTTGGATACTACTTTTTTAAAAGCTTTTGGCCAGTACTAGAAATCTTTTATTACTGTTATAAAACGGTTATAAAACATTTATTTCCAGGAAAATAAACATTTTCTCCTACTCATTTTACAGATAAAGGATACAGAAAAGAAACACAGTGCTTGCCTTGTGTATTTCAATTCTGTTGGCTAGGCAGCACATGTGTTGGTCAATAAGGTGGGAGTGTTGAGGGAGAGCATGGGATTTTGAGATTAAATTTTTCTCTCCTTACACTATTTCTCTTTGGTTAACAAAAGTCAAATGCTAAAGAGCGATTTGTAGATGAGGATTATGTTGGCCTAACATAATATCAATTGTTAAACTTTCTTAGTTGCATTGAAAATACATTTGATAATTGTCAAAGAATTGATTGTATAGTGTTTACTCAACTTTATAGTTACGTTTCAGTGAACATTTACCAATAAAGAGCTGCATTGAAATATCTTAGGTAGAATAGAGGCCTTGTAAAAAGGTCCCTTTCTAGCTGTCATGCCAACTTTTTGAGGTGTAGATACTGATTGGAAAGGCATCTATATAGACAGCATGATTTTTCTTTGTGTTCTTAATTCCTTCCAGTTGATTTTTTTTAAAAAAAGTCTGTGCTATGATACTATTGTAGTAAGATTCAAATTAACAATTTGATTATGTGTCTTTTATCACTGTTTTGTGAAAGTTTGACAACTTAAATATCTTTGAGGACTAAATTTTGAGAGGGCTGATTAGTAATTTCTTGGTTATTTTGCATAAATTCACATTTTAGTTAGCTGTAGTGAATGTGAGCATTAGCTGAAATGATGCATTCTGCTCATGTGTTCATTTAGGTAAAGTTGTTAAGATTACAGAGTGGATTGCTGAATTTGATATAGTTCTTTGTCTTATACATCCAAGAATATAGTCAGGTGTTTAAATGTAAAAATTAGGTTACATAGTGAAGTTCAATAGTGCTAGACAAAAACCTATACTGTTCTTAAAATCAGGTAATAGTGGATATTAAGAATATTGAATATGCTCTGCTTTTCTTACTTTTTCCATTCAGTTAGGTGTTTGGGATTCTGCTGGCTTGTATTGTTTGCTGGATTCTTTCAGCTTAGTAATTTAGAAAGCAGCAAGATAACCATAGAGATGGATGAGAATCGCCATTAAGTGTAGATCAGTTTATGTAGACTTATGGAGGCATAATGATTTTTGAAAGATGATAGCTGCTTTACATATCTTTTTCAGTCCTGTTGGTTTTATAAGTTTATCATACCCTTTATTTCATGGTGGTTAAATCAGGTGGTCATTCTCCATTTTAAGGCTACTTGCTGCCTTAAGATCTTTTTATATAAACCTATTCTGATAAAACTTAGAGAAAATTTTAAAATGAATTATTAGCAGATTTTCCATTGACAAGAAAACATTTGAAAGTGATTCTGTTTTCATTATTTTTCCCCATGCATTCAGTTAATGAAATAATTATTTTCCCTCTTTGGACTAATTTTGATACAGTTAAGATAGGATTTAGTAAACTGTTTTGGCTCTGTTGAAGTTACTTATAGTATAAAATTTTTATGAAATAATTTTTTTCTATTTTCCTACTTAGTAATGCTATTTTTCTTCAAACAAAAAGTAGTTACAGTGTGCATGCCGCATAAGTTTTACGTTAGAATTTAAGGGCACATTTGACTAGGATAAACTTAGAATGTCTGTACATAGTTGAAAATTTCTTAAAGTTAATACAGTAATTTATGCAAATGAATGAGAGTCACTCAAATTAATATTTTCTGACTCCTGCAGAAGTAAATTGTCTACATTAACATGCCCTGTGGGTGTATATATATATGAATTGGCTATCCCCCTTTCTCTACTCCCACAAATCAAGGGAAATAACCTTCCCCCCTCCTTTCAACAACAGTGAAAACAATACAGATCATCACTTGAATGTCCCACAAAGCTTTCCTAAGTGAATACTCATCATCTTCAGAGTTACCTTGCAGTATATACAGCATTAAAGAGCCCATTGATCAATTTCCCTATTAAAATGTTAAAATAACAAGATCAGATGTTGATGATCGAACTTAGTGTTATTTTCATAGAGTTGGATATTTGTGTGCTCTTTTTTAACTGGTGTCTAACTTTGTGATTACAACTTGTGGGGGAAACCTGTTATCAAGTTGTTAGACTGGGTTTTTCATCAGGAAGTCAGATGTTGTACTCGAATTGTTGGTCCTCTGCAAGAAAACAGAATGCTTCTCTTGAGTGAATAAGCCAGGATAATGAGGCGAGGGGTTTTATTTCAAAGGTGTTTTTTGGTGATGGCATAAATACATTACAGATTATAAAATCCAATTACTATATTAAATTTCATCACTTGTTTTTTAGGTATTCCAATAACTGTACCACCTCCAGGTAAAACTTTTTCCATGTTTTCTCCATCATTGTTAATAAACATGAAATTTCAAGCCTATAGTTACAGGAGGGACAGTGTTGATACGATTAGAATATGGAATAGGCTATTGGGATTTCAAGGTCCTATTTTCAGCTCTGCCTTTGCTTCATTCCAGTTTTGATTAAGATAGTTTTCTTATACCTGTCTTACCCATCTCTGTAGAAATAGAGATTCTGAGAAAATTCTCACCATGTCAATTGGTTGAAGAAAACTGAGTATAGGATAAAAAAAATAAAATTTTTATTTAAAATACCAAGGAATTCTTTATATGATAAAGTGCAAGAGACAAGAAAGATCATTTATCTTGACATAATTATTGTTTCTGATTTTTTTTCCACCCTGCTGGCATAACTCAATATTATGAGAATATATGTTCTGACCCACACTATTAGGTAGATTGATAACTGGACAGAAGGTTGTTCTCTGAGTGGTTAAATTGTTCATTGTTATAATGGTATGATCAATAGTTATATGTGGCCCAGTGTTATTTTAAAAAAAAAATTAGGGTTTTTTGGTAGTGTGATACAAATGTGGCAGCAAGTGTGTTAACTTAGTTCAGCATTAAAAGCCAAGGAGCATAAAGAGAATGAGAAGTGACAGTTCTTGGAAGGGTGGGTCTAAAATCAAAATGACCTTGATAAACAGAAACTGTGGAGTTTAGATAGCATAGGTGAGTATACATATTTAGATGTGAGATAGTCATTGATTGTCTATGAATGTGGCTGAAAAAGACTTACCAGGAAACGTTATAAAGGAATCATTGGTGTGTCTTTTTAGTTTAAAAAGAAATGTGATTTTAAAACTGTATAAAGCAGGATTGTGGACTCTTGAGTACTAATGTGGTAATTCCTAAACTGTATACTTCTAAGATGTTCAGTAGAGGATTTATAAATCCCAAAACTGGATACAGGGAAGATGAGCATGGTGAATTTGAAACAGCTTGTAAAAGGGCCAAAACTGATTTAATTGGACTTTTGAGAAGGGTTAAGAGAACTGGGATTCATTTTTACTTAGAATATTAAAAAGGAGGTCTAGTGGAAATGTTTTTAATATGCAGAAGGTTTTAGAGAATATGACAATGGATTGTTTCTTGTCCTCATTCAAGATAGCATATGTATTGCAGTGTGAGAAATTTAAATAATATACTTTAATGCATTTCCCAGTAGTGACAGTTATTATTAAAACTAGGAAGCAATTGGTATCATAAGTTGTAGAATCTTAAAGTCTTTGTTGGGATTCTTTTTGCCTATTTGAATTGGAAAGTGTAGAATAGATTAACTGTTTAAGGTCCCATTTAGCCACATTCCATGGTATTACATTTAGGTATTGTGAATTATTGAGAATGCAGACCTCATAATATCAAGGTGCAAATTATTTTCTTTCCAGACTAATGCAAAACTATAATTACGTGCCTTTCTTTGTAAAATAGTTCTTAGGGTTGTGCTATTAAAACATATTTTATGATGGATATTCTCAGCCTTAAGCAGTTATTATATTTACTGGTAAGATTTTATTTATATATTATACATTTTAAGGAAATTTCTACACAACTAAAATTCAAAAAATTTTTTAAAAGAGGTAAATGTTATTTTATTTGCTTTTCTACTAAAATATTTCAAGTATAAGATATCTGGTGGCAACACTACTGTTTTATATATGGAAAAGGTAAGGCATTGAAATTAACTTTCTCATACTCACAAAATGGGCTGTGTGTGGTGCTGAAAATAAGACCGAGTGTCCTGACTCCCAATTTGTGCTCTATGTATTAGACAAGACTGTTCATTTAAAGTTTTATTACTCTAATACCTGTTTATAAGTTTAAGCTCCATTTTTTTCTGTCCATTATAACATAGAGAAGCATGTTATGTCCCTAGGAAAATTTAGTGATATGTAGCAACTTTGTTTCTCTCTTGCCATTAAATATATATTCTCTTAACTTTTTTTTCTTATGATTGAATGTTTCAGGTTTTCCTCCTCCACCAGGTGCTCCACCTCCATCTCTTATACCAACAATAGAAAGGTAAATAATTGTGTATACTGTAAAATTTTTATCATTGATAGGCTTTTGACAGAAGAATCATACATATTTTGGTAATATTTTCAAAGATTTAATTTTATAAATAGTAGTACCTGCCTTTTAGTGAGTATGTCTAGATCTATGTTAGCTACTTTGATATAAGACTTTGGACCAATAACAAAACACAAAGAAAACTAAATGATAGTATTTTGAAATACCTTCCCTTGATTTATGACACACTGATTAAAGAAACTCCGAAATTGATTTTTAAAAATTGACTATAGTCAATTTTGTGGAAAATACAAAAAGATGACTGGTAATCATGAATAAAGCATGTCTGTTTTAGGATTAGGTAAGGACAACTATTATCAGGAACCATAATAAAGAAAAGCTGCCTTATTCCTTGCTACCCTGCTGCAACTCAGCTTCCACAATGGAAGATTTGATCTATTCTGCATAGGAAAAGCCTTATTTTTATACTCTGCATTTATGATTTTTGTTAGTTAGAATGCTGTACTAAATATTTACCTCATGGATGGCAATATGGTGTTTAACAACAGAGGCTTTGGAATAAAAAAGAACTGGTTCACATTTTGCCTTCATAATTTACCAGCTTTGTGTTGCTAGGCAAAGTTTATGACTACTCTTTGAGACTTAGTTTCTTCTTTTACCAAGTGGGATTGATAGAATTGTGAAGATTAAAACAGCTAGTGAATTTAAAGCATCAACATAATTCTTGATAGATAGAAATCACTAATGGTGGCTATAATTATTTCTGCTTACTTGGCAAATAAACTCTACAAAATTAGTGTATTTCTGAAAAAGTGATTTAAATGATATAAGAAGACAAAAATTGTGAGAACCATATTATATCAATAGCATCAAAACCATGCATATGGTTTTCAAAGAAAATGATAAAACTCAGTGAAGTGTGACTTGTGAGAACATAGAGATTTAATTTTATTAGTAAGTCCTTCTTAAATATATATTTGTTTTCTCAATCAAAATGTTAAGTATTATTTGTTGATCCTGTCAGTGGAGCTGAATTTCTAATTGATAACAATTAGTCCAACTTTTTTAAGACTAAATTTTTAAAAAGTACTCCCTCTGTTCCATAATAATAGTACCAGTTGATGAATGTAATTTGTCCCATAATAATAGTAGCAAAAGAAAATAAATATAGAACGCAAGATTTATTATCAAAAAACCAGATTAAATTAAACAATAAATTAGAAATAGTACTCCTAGTTTTTATTTTGAGTGTTCAGATAGTTTCTGGATTTTTCAGTAATTTCGTTACTGCATTTTAAACTTGTAGGTAGGATCCTTGGCTGCGAAGCTTTGCTTTCCCGATATGCGTGAGCTTAAAATTATTGGAGCCGTCGTTCTTCATTGCTTCCAGCATAACTTGTTGA